CATATGGAGGGAGGAAGGAAAGAAAGAGAAAAAAAAAAGAAAGAGAAGAAGCAAAAGAAGAAACTTAGGAAAAAGTGAGTACATGTACTTTTGGAGGCTGGGAAGGAGGGGCATTGGGAGTAACACACACACACACACACACACACACACACACACACACACACACACACACACCAAAGAGTAACCAACTCCCTCCCGAGAAGATAGGGCAGGGCGGGGCGCGACGCTCTGTGTCACATTTCATCAACGTACATTAAAGAATGGCCAGTAGATAAAAACTCTGGGGCCAAACCAGCATTACGACTTGGGCTCGCCAGCGATCCGTTACCCATTTATCTATACAGTCATGGCATGTATCTCGCGCTCTCGGGATACCCCGCGATAACGTAGAAGGGTATACGGGTAGACGGGTAGATGGTGGCTGACCCCCTGTCGCCACACGGACCCCTCAAGTCATCTCACATCCGCCTCAAGTTACGGAACCCTTCAATGTCGAATTACACGCTTTTTGGACGGATAGATAGAACTTTATCAGCTATAATAAAATATTTGATTTCGCCTGAAACTGTTTCAAGACATATTTTCGGTGACTTTTTGAGTTTGAGCACGAAGAGATCTTACGTCGAATGACACGCATTTTAGGCACTGTTTGATTAAATTTCATAGACTATACAAAAACTTGCTCATCCTGTTTCATTTCGAGGCATACTTTTGATGATCTGACTTTTGAACTTGAATAAAAAGATCATCAATCGAATTTCATTTCACGCATTTTGGTAGGACTTGATGAAACTTTATCAACTGTAAAGGAAATACTTGCTTTTGGTTTGATACTGTTTCGATTTGACACATACTTTGAATGACTTTTGAGTATGAGGAAAGAGACCACCAGTCGAATGAAACGCATTTTGGACTGTTTGATCAACTATAAAAATGCATGCTCATCCAGTTTCGTTTCTAGGCAAACTTTCCATGACTGTTGAGTTTAAGTAAACAGACGCATCTCGAAACACTAGAATTCCTTTGCTGCCTGGAAAAGTCCCGACAAACAATCAGAACCGACAACGGGTAAGAAACAACCAAAAAAAGAAGACCCTTCCCGTGGGGCCCTCCAACCACCCTTCAAAGCTTTGTATGTTTATTTGTTTGGGTAAAGAAAAGAACATCGACACAATAATTGTCATTTGGTGCTACAAATAAGAGAGACAGACGGAAATAACAGAGGGAAAGTAAAGAAGTAGGGCCTACCAGTGGGTCACTCCAACCACCCACATCCGTCAAAGCGGCGAAAAGCCAGTAAGTCAATTATGCATAAGACGTTTCTGCAACTCCCATAAGACTCTGGAGCTAGCAGGACAGCATAAAGAGCCGTTACCTTAAAAGAGTCGAGCCTTGCGTGAGTAGAATACTCTGAGACAAAACGCAACACTACAGAACCGCCAAGAGAGGCGACTACAAGAAGAAAGAACACCAGAGACATCGCTAGCACCCCCACCCCCTTTTTCCATACCTTAGCCTGTGGTGTGAAGATAGACAGAAACGGGAGGGAGGGAGAG